GCCATTCAACATGTCAATGAATAATGGTTTTGTGTTGTTTTTTTTCTTTTTTTTGGTGAGGAAGATTGTCCCTGAGCTAACATCTGTGCCCCTCTTCCTCTATTTTGTATGTGGGATGCCGCCACAGTATGGCTTTATGAGCTGTGTAAAGGTCCGTGCCTGGGATCCGAACCCATGAACCCCGGGCTGCCGAAGCGGAGTGCGTGACCTTAACCACTATGCCACTGGGCCGGCCCCATCAATTAATAATTTTGAATGATGTTAGGAAATGAGAATGATAAAAAGTAACAGAAAAAAGAAAAACTCTGATTTCAATAGAAAGGATAGTCTCAACAATGTAGAATACTGATGGATAGAAAAAACAACAACAGCAAGGGAACACACCAAATGTTCTGCTTGGTGGAATGCTAGATGGTGTGAATTCAACAGAGCCTGTGGAGGCTGAGTTCTCCTCCTCACTATTTTGCTATTTGCTGCGGATGATGGTAACGTGTTGGAGTTGTGTTTTGATATCTCCTTGCTTTGGGGATGGATTATAGAGCTGAAGTATTAAAAATATCTAGGAGAAAATCATAGCTAATGAAAGCTGAGATTTAAACTACTGTAGGTGTTGTTTCACAATTTCATTTAAAAGCTGTCAGAATAGAAATGAAGATGACAAAACAATCTAGTTTCTCTGCCTCCCTTACTAAAAAGTTAGCTATTTCCAATAAGTTAAACAAAGCATTTTTGATGGGACTTGTGCTGATGCTGTATTCAGCAGACCCTCCTCAGTCATTTATGTGCTGTTATGGGCTGAATTGTGTCCCCCCAAATTAGGGTTTAAGCTCTAAACCCCAGTACCTCAGAATGTGACTGTATTTGGAGCTAGGGCCTTTAAAGAGGTAATTGAGGTAAAATCAGGTCATATGGATGGACCCTAATCCAATACAACTGGTGTCCTTATAAGAAGAGGAGATTAGGACATAGACATTGCTATAGATTGAATGTTTCTGTGTCCTCCAAATTTATATGTTAAATCCTAACCCCCAAGGTGAAGGTATTAGAAGGTGGGGCCTTTGAGAGGCGATTAGGTAATGACAGTGGAGCCCTCATGAATGGGATTAGTGTCCTTATGAAAGAGACCCCAGAGAAAAGTTCCCTCGCCCCTTCCCCCGTGTGAGGACACAGAAAGACGACAGCCATCTGTGAACCAGGAAGCAGGGCCTCACTAGACACAGAATCTGCCGGTATCTTGATCTTGGACTTCCAGCCTCCAGAACTGTGAGAAAATACACTTCTGTTGTTTAAGCCGCCCAGTCTGTGGTGTATCATTGTGGCAGCCCTACAAACTAATACACATACATGTATATTAATATGCATTGGTGTCAATTTTTGAGGATCCCAAACACCCTCAAGACAGCAATGGTTGCGGAGCAATTAGAGTTAGGAAGAAGGGTGCGTGATGGGGCACGTGGTGGGTGGAGAAGTGTAGCTGCTTAAAACTCTGTATGACGAAGGAGATGCTGATTGTTTTTTAAACTAGAACTTAGAGTAAATAGCCCTCCTGGGAGTGGGGACCAGAGAAGGGCACTCTGTTCCCATTCCCCTTCTCATGTGAGTATGACTAGAGCAGAGCTCACGGATCATGAGAGGCCTCAGACGTGCACACCCAGAGCTTCTGACCCAGCTCCTGTAACTGAGGTCAAAGCCCTTCCCACCACGAAGAGGGGCCCAAGAGGTAAGGAGTCCTTCAAAGGCAATGGCGATTGGTCAAGTTAAATTCCGTCTTGGGAGCGAGGCGGGCGGGGTCCACACCTAGCAAGAGGTTTAGGAAGGGGGGCTGCCTGCTCACGTGCTGTGGGGTCTCCTGGGGCTGAGGGAGTCACTGCAATTCAGGGATTCTGCTGCCTCCTGCCCTCATCAGAAATCGAAGGCCACTCCTACTCTTTCAACTGAATAGACCTTGAGCTAGGAAGGCATTTTGCATCCTTGTCATTTGCCCCTTTCCTGTTTTTCATCCACCTCAGCGCCCCAGGCCTGCCAGAGCCGAAACTGGCCCGTGGATTCCCGACAGTCTGGGATGTGTTTCTGAGCAAGAGAATTCTGATCCCTAAGCCAAATCCACATGAGCTGTTTGCACCTTCCCTTTTGCCAGCCAACTCTAACTTTGCTTCCTAAATTACAAACTTCTGACTTCTTTGGTCCGGCCACGGCATTTTTCTCAGCTGCAGGCCTGCAGTTTCCACGCTTTGGCGTAGCTTCTGTCTGAGAGGTTTCATTGATAACGTAAGGAAGGAAGCTAAAAATAGCATAGTAGCCACCTCTCTCCAACACCGGGGAACCGCGAATCTACTCCCTAGCTCCCGGGATTGGGGGCTGCCCCGGGTTTGTGGCTGGCTAAGTCTGGGCAGAGTCCTCCTAAGGGCCAGGAGAGGGGCCGTGGGCGATCAGGGCCTGTGCACGCACAGCAGGAGACCCTCTGGCATGTATTTCCTGGGGATGTCTCCGGTCACTGAGCAATATTTGCAGAGATGATAAAATGATCTGTCACCCCTAGCTGTCTTTCCCCTCCCTTCTCCCCCTCCTGGCTGACTTTTCTGCGGCGCCAGGCCCTGTGCTGGGAAGCAAGATTCGAATATGGAGAGAGGCCAGGACCTAGCTGTTTAGGGGCTGTAAATTCAGCCTTTAATCTAACAAATTAGTTTTTTATTGTGAAACATGTAGTCTTGTAGCACCGACATTATCTCTGTTGACAGGTAGTACGGTATGTTAAAAAAAAAAAAAAAAACCTTGGGCTCTGGAACCAGATCTCCCGAGTCCAAATCCTAGCCTGGCCAGTTAGAAGCTGTGTGAGCTTAGGCCCATTGCTTAACATCTCTGGTCACTAGTTTCCTTGTTTGGAAAATGTTGTTGATAATGTCATACCTACCGTAAAGAAAGTTATGAGGATTATACGAGTTTTAAACAAGGAAAGCACTTAGAACAGTGCTGGGCATATAGGAAACAGTCAATAAATAAAAAATAAATTGTTTCTTATTTTTATTGTGGTAAAATATACATAACATGAAATTTACCATTTTAATCATTTTTAAGTGTACAGTTGAGTGACACTAAGTACATTCACATTATTGTGCAATTATCATCACCATCCATCTCCAGAACTTTTTCATCTTCCTAGACTGAAACTCTGTACCCATTAAGCAGTGCATCTCCTTTTCCCTCTCCTCCCAGCCTCTGATAACCACCATTCTATGAATTTGACTATTCCTGGTTCCTTAAGTGGAATCATACAATAGTCACATGATTTATGACTGGCTTATCTCACTTAGCATAATATCTTCAAGGCTCATCCATGTTATAGCCTGTGTCAGAATTTCCTTCATTTTTTATGGCTGACTAATATTCCATTGTATGGATGGACCACATTTTATTTATCCATTCATCTGTCGATGGACATTTGGGTTGCTTCCATCTTTGGGTGATCGTGAATAATGCTGCTATGAACATGGGTGTACAAGTATCTGTTCGAGTCCCTGCTTTCACCTCTCTTGGGTACCCAGAAGTGGAATTGCTGGATCATATGGTAATTCTATGTTTAATTTTTTGAGGAACCATTATACTGTTTTTCACAGCAGCTGTACCATCATTCTCATAGTTTTAAACACTATCTACAGGCTGACAAATTCCAGCCGTATACCTACACTTTTATACCTTTATACCTTTGTAGATAGATGTACTCAACTGTCTACTTGATCTTGTCAGTTAGCTGTCTCACAGGCATCTTGAGATTAAACATGTCCCAAACTCCACCTTATACCACACCCCAGCTCTTCCCCATTTTGGTAAGTAGCACTAAGTAAGCATCTAGTTGCTCAAGCTGGAAACCTTCAAGCAGGGCCAGCTACATAATTTGCCAGGCTCAGTGCAAACTGAAGATGTGGAGCCCCAGCCAGAAACAGGGAAGTCAATGCCCCCTTTCCACAGGTCTGTGGCCCCAACCCACAGTGGATGGGCCACCGCAAAGGGACTGCAGCCTCCATCCTGGGGTGTACTCAGTGCCTGGATCCAGGGTGGCCAAGAGCCCTCCACCAAGGTCACTGCCAGCCTGTGATGGGGACGGCTGTGGCACTGGCCCCACACCCGTGAAGCTGGCCCTGCCTTCAGTGGATCCTTGATTCCTCTATTTCCCTCACCCTCCACACTGACTTTGTCAGCAAGACCTGTGAGTTCTACCTCTAAAATAAATCTCAGCTCTTTACTTCTCTATCTCTACTGCCATTACCTACATCCAAGCTGCTGTCACCTCTCCCTACTATAAAAACCACCAACCCGTCTCTTTCACTCACACTTGCCCCCTCCCACCACATTCCACACAAAAGCCAGAGTAATTGTTTCCAAAAATAAATTGGTCCACATTTACTGCCCAGTTTTAAAACATTCGTGGGCTCCTCGTCACACTTAGAATAAGGTGCCAGCTCCTTGCCATGGCATACAAGGGCGTGCACCATCTGGCCCCTACCTACCTCTCTGACTTACTTCATAGCACTGCCCTCTCTTCTCTTCTTCTCTGGGCACAGTGTTCTGCCTTCTACACCTTGAAGATGCCAAGCCTGTGATGGCCTCAGGCAGGGTTTCTCAACCTCGGCACCATGGACATTTTGGATAATTCTTTGCGTAGGGGATTGTCCTGTGCACTGTGGGATGTTTAGCAGCATCCCTGGCCTCTAACCATTAGATGACAGTAGCACTGCCCCCCACCACCACATTGTGACCACCAAAATCTCTCCAGATATTGCCAAATGTTCCCTGGGGGCAACCCCCTCCCTATTCTTGAGAACACTTCCCTGGAGCCTTTGGGTGCTGATTTTGCCCTCTGGCTAGAGTGTTGCCCCTACACACCCTCCACCACCTTCCTACTCCTAGCACTTACTTGTCCTTCAGATATCAATTTCAATGTCACCACCTTCCCTTTTTTTTTTTTTTTTTTGTGAGGAAGATCAGCCCTGAGCTAACATCCATGCCAATCCTCCTCTTTTTGCTGGAGAAGACTGGCCCTGGGCTAACATCTGTGCCCATCTTCCTCCACTGTATATGAGATGCCACCACAGCATGGCCTGACAAGCGGTGCATCAGTGCATACCCAGGATCTGAACTGGGGCCGCCAGCAGCAGAGCACGCGCACTTAACCACTATGCCACGGGGCCAGCCCTCAGTGTCACCTTCTTAAAGAGGCCTTCCTTGACCAACCAGTATAAAGTGGCCACTCAGTCACACTCTCTCTATTTTAACTCTGTTGTATAAACACTCACCAGTCTCTGCTATCTGTTTGGTTTAATTATTTATTTGTTTACTTTCTGCTCCCTTCTCCCCCCCAGGATGCCAGCTCTTTGAGGGTGGTCATTTCCATGGTTTTGTCGAGTGCTGGGTTCCTGACACCTAGAATGGAACCTGGCACAAAGGAGGTGCTCGGTCCATATTTGCTGAAGGAATGAATGCCCAACACCTTGAAACCCAGGTCTTACTTGTTTCTGAGTACTTGTTAGGCCATTTTCATTTATTTCTAATTCTTCCTCTTTCCTTTGCATGGCCTCCACTTTCCACCTTTTAGGCCCATTTCTGCTCTCTGTTGTCTTGTTTCTGTCTCTTCATCACATCACAGGCGGTGTTTTCCTATATTAATTTGATTCAGCATCTTTCATAACAGAAACACAGGATAGATAGACATGACACGGATAAGGTTTTGGTGAAGTTGAACTTAAGTAGCAGGACTGATGGTCGGGGGTCTCTGGACTACACACAGCAGGAGGGTCTCCCAGGACAGGGGCTCCCGGGAATCGACTTCAACCAGAGAGAACAGCCCTGGTGGGAATCCAGGAGGGCCTCTCTCTCTGTCTCATCTGTGAAAAATATGGCTGCCATCAACACCTCTGTAGGCTTTGTTGAAGAAATCAGGCTGACTGAGCTAAGATGTCTTTATCTCAAACTCAAGAGGATAGAGAGGATTTCTTGGCTGGACTTGGGGAAGAAGTTGTCCTTATCGGGTGTCTACCATGTTCCAGGCGCACCCTAGGTCATGGGGAAACAGTAGAGAACAAAACAGACAAAATTCTGCTGTCATGGAACTTAGATTCTACGAAATGGCACTGACTCTGTGTTTATTACTAAGCACCTCTCAAGAACCAGGCCCTAACATTATACCGAGGATACAACACTGAGCAAAATGCACTGACATAATTGCATATGGTGATAGATTAATTCAGTTAGTCATAGTCTAGATGGCTATATGAACATACAGCGGGGGGACTTACTCTGGTTTGAGGGGGTGGGAAAGAAAATGTTTTTAAGTGAATTAAATGAACTTTATTTTTTAGAACAGTTTTAGATTTACAGAGAAATTATCAAGATCGTCCAGAGAGTTCTCATTTATGCCACACTCAGTTTCCCCTATTATTATCATCTTACATTGCTATTGTGCATCTGTCACAAGTAATGAACCTATATTGATATATTATTATCAACTAAAGTCCGTACTTTACTCAGATTTCCTTAGTTTGTACCTAATGTTCTTTTTCTGTTCCAGGATCCCATCCAGGATCCCACATCGTCGTCATCATGTCTGTGCAGTCTCCTCTTGGCTGTGAAAGTTTCTTAGACTTTCCTTGTTTTGGGAGACCTTGACAGTTTTGAGGAGTATAGGTGAGGTATATTGTAGGATGTAGCTCTGCTGGAATTCTCCTCATCGTTAGACTGAGGTTATGATTTCTGGGAGGAAGACCCCAGAGGTAAGGTGCCATTTTCAGCACATCACATCAAGGGTACGTACCATCAACATGACCTATCACTGTTGGTGTTGAGCTTGATGGCCTGTCTGACGACGTAGCTTCTGTCAGGTTTCTCCTACTTCCCCCGTCCTTCTTCAGGCTCTAGTGCAGCCCACATGTAAGGTGGGGGTGGGGGTGCTATGATCACCTCCTTGACAGTTTGTTTGATTTTTAATAGCTTTATTGAGGTATAATTTATGTACCACAAAAATCACCCATTTTAAGTGAACAGATTGATGATTTTAGTAAAAGTCTACAGTTGTGCCTGAGGGAAGTGGTCTTTGAGCTGACATCCAAAGGATGAGGAGGATTTAAGTAGGCAAGAGAAGGGAAAGACTGTTCCAGGCAGAGGTAAGAACATGTACAACCCCTTCAAGGGAGCATGGCACATTCAAGGAACTTGGGTTAATCCTGAATCACTTAGAAAAGGTGGAACGTGTCACCATCCTTCATTTAATATGCTTCATAAATATTTTCTTCAAAATGTTTTTAAGTCCACAACATTTTACGGCTTACATGTATAAACTCCAGTTCTGTGGAACAATTGGCTGTCTAGAACAACTCAGGCCCTGATGGTTTATCTAAAGTTTTACTACAACAATAAGTAAATATTAAGATAGTAAAATTCAGATGGTTCCCGAGGAGGAATAAAATTGTAATAAAATTTCTTCCCTTTTCAGGTCTTGTTTAAACAAGATTGAAAATGTGTGCACTGTTTCCTTCCTGATAAGTCCTTGATTTATTTCCCTTTGGAACAAACACACCACAACAAAGTGAGGATGAGAAGGTAACTCAGAGGTAGAAGAAGGGAAAGGAACTACACTCAGAAACATGTCCTCATATAAACTTAGAATCTGAAAAAATCCAGCTAGCAAAAACATTGAAAGGCTATTTCCAGGTGTGAAATATCCAAGAGGCTCTCTCAGGACTTCTGTGGGACATTCCCTGGCATGTATAAGCACCATATTAGTTAGGATAGGTAGGGCCGTGCTACAGTGACAAAGAAACCTCACATTCTCAGTGGCTTAATCCAACAGGTCATTGTCTGATGTAGGGCAAGTGGCTCTCCTTGGCAGCTCTCCTCCAATAATTAATTCAGGGATCTAGGCTCCACCCATCTTGCGATGGTGTCATCTTAATCATGTGGCCTCAAAGTTTGCAACCAAAGAGGAAGAGAGAGTGTGGATGATGACATAGGGGATTTTATGGCCAGCCTGGAAGTGGTATATTACACCACTTCTGCCCATGTCCTTTTGGTCCTGACCCAGGTACATAAGCCCAATTTAAGTGGGAACCAGGTTGGGAAATGCAGTCTTCTTGTGTATGCAGGAAGAAGAAAATAAAATGAGATTTGGTGAGCCTATAGTATTGTCTTTGCCCCAAGCTCTTAATCTTTTTAATTTGATGCTTTTCACATTATAAAATAATACATGCTTGTTGTAACAAGTGAAACATAGATGTATAGATGCAAAACTAATCATCTCTGTACTTTCTGTCTCCTGTCACTTCTCCTTCCCTGTGTATCCTGCCACACCTTTTTTCTTGTTTGTAGAATTGTATTCCACGTATATGTATGATTCAAGGGGAAATGAACTCTAGAAGACACTTCTGAACTGGAAGTTTTCAGGATAATGCTTCTAGAGTTGCTGAGAAACACCTGAATGAAATGTTCATCCAGGGGTACATCATGTTGACAGAGTAGCAATGGAATCTTGCTGGAATTTAAAATGCAGTGCTTTTGTTTATTTTTTCTTGGCTTTCTACAGGTCTTTGGCACTCACTCTTGCCTCTGGGAAGCCTTTCCGGGCTCCCTTGTCACTATTAGAGGCTCGCCTCTTCATGGTGGAACCAGCAGGAGCTGTGGCATCAGAAAGATCTGGGTTCAAATCCTGGCTCTGCCTCCTACAATCTCCATGACTTTGGGCAAGCAATAAACTCTTCCAGGCATTATGGAAGCATAACTACCTCATATTTGAAACAGAGATCTAGTACCTATCGCTTATGGTATTTGCAAACTACAAGATAAAGTCTACTCTCAAATCTCCCAGGTTGCTGGATATCTATGACATGTTAATGTCCACAACTAGAAACCAAAGCAACTAGTAGTTAAAATGTGTACAGTGTGACTGAGAAGCTAGGGTAATCCTCTACAAGAAAAGTACCATAAGATGAGGAGGAAAGGAAGAGAAAATATAGACTTGAAAATGTTAGTGCGCCAAAGAGGATTTGGAGTATTCATTTAGAAGGGAAGAAGATGTGTAGGGAAATGAAGATTGGGAGATGTAGAAGTTATTAGAAACATGTTAGACCAATCAAGCCATTTTGCTACCGATTTTCCTCTTCATTAGTTATGCATAGCTCCCATGAACAGGGCCAGAGTCCTTCTGTGATGGACCTTTTTTGTTAATGACCCAGTGGAACAAAAGGTTCAGTGAAGCCCAGAGGTGTTGCCAGAGGAAGGGAGTGGGCCTGCTCAATGGTTTAATGTTGGTTAGCAGTTTAATGTAAGAGTGGTCTAACAGCAGAGGAGCCCAGTGAGGGGTAAGCATCAAATTTTGCCAATGTTGAGAAGGTGGGGCGAAGAAACATCAACAACCAAAAAATTAAAAACAGAAACATTTCGTTGAAGAACTCAACAGAATGAGGACAAAAGACAGGAACCCAAACATGAAAACTTGGGTACTGACACAAATGTCCAAAAGAAAAAAAAAATTGAAGAAGTTTGATCAGTAAGTATACAGTCATAAAGCCAGAAATCGCTTTAGGTATTTCAAACAGAGAGGGATATAATACAGGGAATTGAGTCATAAAACTGGTGGAAGGGCTGGGAGAGTGAAAAGGCGGAAGGTGGTGTTACCCAGAGATTGGAAGTGCAGGAAGCTGGAGATGTGTTCCATGCAGTTAAATTCTGGATGTTGAAAGCTGTTTATCATCTGATGTTTTCAGAACAGCTCTGGAGCTTTTCTTGTCTTTACACCTCCCATTAGTATGGGTTAGATTAGAATCTCAAGGCTTAATCCTATGGCCTGTACAACGTGCAACTCCCTGTAGGTGCTCGAGGCTATGACAATGGAAATGCAGTAACAGACAGGCTATGAGAACTGGTCCATAAAAACTTTGGCCTGCTAGTGGTCATTTACTCGAACGGGCTGATAAGAGTTGCTCACTTGGTTTTGCCTTTATCTGATTCAGGCCAGGGTTGTGTCTGCTCTGTATGATTGGCTGACATTTCCGTAAACCCAGAGACCATGCAGGCTGCCCCTTCCTCTTAATCGCATGCATTTCATGGGAAGGATGGATCTGTGCCCCAGGTGATGAGTCTCATGTACCTAACAGCCATGTGACAGCAGGGTTGGTGAACATTTTCATAGACTGTTTGAGTTTCATGAGTTTTTGAAAGGAAGCAATTTAGGAGAAGTATAATGGGGACTTTGTGGAAAGGTGTAGTGAGGCGGCCATTTTGGTTTCTGGAATGCTGTGCTGTTCCCTCTCAGAGGCCTGGAGTGCTGCAGCTTGTCCCTGAGGCTACTCCATCTTCTTCCCACCCTTCTGGGTTGTTCTTTGCTCCTTTGTGCCCTTGGGTCTGCCCTCTCAGCACTGTCACTCCAGGCCTTGGCTGGCCAGACTGCTCTCACACGCCAGCTTCTTTCTGCCCACAGTGTCCATCGTTGTGTACACATGTGGTGTTAATGGGGAGCTCAAACATGCCCCAGCTGATCTTGCCATTGATAACAGCTCTTGGGGAGAGTCCATGGTTCCCGTGACAAGGCACTAAATGATAAGTTTTTCTGTTCCTAAGCTCTGCTTGCTACTCAAGAGCAGGCTGATTGGACATTTTCACAGTGATGTATGTCTCTTCTTTGGAACTTCCTCTTCACCTGAGTTGAGAGATACTGTATCCAAAAACAAATGTTTCTACTAAATCCTATGCCTAAGAGCTTTCCAATCTCCCTAAAGTAGGGTCAAACTCCCCAGCTTGAGAAGCTTGTTCTGAACTTGGCATCGTACCCCACTTATTCTCTAATCTACCCCCAGTAGGCACTGGGCTGTTCTAAAAAATTACCTAGTAGGGTTCCCCCCAACTCCCATCCTGTCTGTCCCCCCATATAGCTCCCTTCTTCACACTCTGCCACTGCTAACACTGCTTGTTCAGCAGGGAGGGTCTTACTACAAGTATCTCCCAACACCTTCCTCCAACCCCAACCTGCCCAAGGAAGGTAATATTTCAGGCAGCTTCTTAAGAAATATGTTCAGGAAGCTTGCAGTTACCTCTCCACAGTGTGATTGCTGGGAACACCAAGACCCAAGAGTTCCCGCCAGGCAATCAAAGGGACACAATTTCTCCCATGCACTGTGATTTATGGTTTGTGAAGCATCTTACATCTTAGCACAGATTATTAATTTGATCCTCACATTCATTATTTTTCACAGATGACAGAATAGGAGTTCAGGGAATAGGGGACTTATGGCCTGGTCATATAGTAAAAAGCTGGGCCATGAATCAATTCCAGATCTTCAGACTCTGACTTCTAGACCCTTCTCCCTGTACCAGACAAAAGACTAACCTACAAAGACATAATGAGCGTGGGCGTTTATAGCAAATTTGTCCATGCAAGGCCAAAAAGATGAATTTACCCTTTGGAGCCTGGCGAGGAGGGAAAAGAAGAAGATGGGTGGAAGAAGGAGAGGTTTAAATGCACGTCATACTCACCATGAACCCTGCTCTTACTGGGCCTTTGTTTCATTGGCTTCACTGCCCTGAGAACATTCAGGGAGAGTTGTGATATGGATGAGTTTGGACTGTTGTTGATCTCTTCCCTTATCTAAGTATTTTGCATCACTGTGGTAACAGATTCCTGTTTATTTTAATGTGTAATTTGTTCTTATCTCTCAGTAAAGATTGGGAGACAGAACCGTCTAATGAAAAAGAACATGGGCTTTGGAGCGGTAATAATGGCTCACCTTTACTGAACTCGATGTAGTAGGGACAGTTCCAAGCACCTGACATGTACTAATTCATTGAATCCTCATAGTAATCCTATGAGATAAATACTATCATTGTTTTATTGTACAGATGGGGAAATGAAGTTATAGAGAGATTAAATAACTTGCCCGAGGTCACACAGCTAGTAAGTAGGAGAGTCGGGATTTGAACTCAGGCAGTGGGACTCCAGAGCCCAACCTGTCAATGACTCCCCCCTAGTGTCAGGATATTGCTCAAAGTCTCTGAGTCTCAGGATCCTCATCTGTAAAATGGGGATAAATACATACCATGTCACATGGTCAAGTGAAAGAATATATGTAAATGATGTTGGCTGTTATTACTGATCAGCCCACTATGACCACGTTTGAAGCCTGCCCAATGGTTCCTCTGAGTTAAAACTGGGGTGTGGGTCCTGAGAGCATGTAGAGAAATAAGCATCTTGGCCCCACCACTCACTAGCTCTATGATGTTGGGAAAGTCACTTAATTTCACTGAACATGTACCTCATTTGTAAAGTGGAGAGAATAATAATAATACACCTCTGATGGGGTTGTTGTGAGGATCAAATGAGATCATGTGACCAAGCCTGACGCATAGAACATAATGTTAGCTGTCATTATGAAGGGTACATTTTGTAAAGGAAGGCTCTTGTGAATGGTGGAGGGGTGGCGATGAGAAAGCAGGGTGTGGTGGTAGAGGACCCCCTCATTGGGGGAGCTATTTCAGCATGTTTTTCCAAGATAGTGTCTTTTGATGAAAAAAAATAAAAGAAAAAGCAGGTCTATTTAATATGGTATATGATGGAAAGAAGAGTGGTTTGACTCCAAAAGCCCTAATGAAGGTAGTTGGATCGTGGTGCAGTTTTATGCTCCAATGTCCCAAACAGGGCTCATCCCTCTGATGCTAAAACTTATGGATGCTCTAAGAGGAGAAGGGGAGGAGGACTTAAAATATATTGGTATTTCCCTGTTGCAACCCCCCTAGGCCCTACACTTCCGGTGTGTCGGGAATTGCAGACCAAACTTAAATCTCCAGGATTCAGGCCTCATCTGGGTTTGCCTGGAGGGCTGGTGGGGCAGATCCTAGGCCTAGCTCCAAACCTGAAGGGCAATTTTTAGCACAGCAAGGCCATACATCGTCCTCCCAGACATTCCTCAAGGAAGTTCCCCAAGGAGTGCGTGGGAACCTATGCAATGGCTCAACATTGGGGAGGTGGTGATAATCAGGAGTCTCTCTCCTTTAGGGAGAACATACATTAGCAGGTAGGCTGTGTCAATGTCCAGGACATTGCAGAGCAGCCTCTCTTGACAGCAGACACGCGAGTAGGAGACAGGACTGGATGAGGCACCTTCCTGGGGCCTTCAGGCCTTCAGAGGCTGGGCAGCACATACCATTGTAGGGAACCAGAGTTAGAGTTGGAAAAAGTAGTGCGTGCCACATGGTTATGAGAGGGTACACAAATACCCATGAAACATCCCAGAAATGATGAGAGAAGCTTTTGGGGTGGCCGGGGAATCCTATCATGGTAGGCAGGGTTAGAGCCAGAGAACTACTTATGGCTTTAATATGAAACGTCCTGTTTAGGGTCTGTCCTCTGCCGGCAAGCAGAGTCTCCACCCTCCTCTGGGTGAGTGGCCACCCAGAGGCGGAAGAGCTTAAGGCCACCAATGAGCAGGTATAACAAGAGGTGGCCTCAGGGCTTGAAAAGCTCACCTTGTAGACACCCGTGTTTGTTTTGGCTCACAAGAAGGGCATTCTTTCTGCTAGGTAAATCCCGGATCAAAGGTGATAATCTAAGGGATGTGTGGCAAAGGTGGCAGCAATCTGACTTTCCTTAGGTTTCTTGGGGCAGGACCAGGCCTGGCTCGCCTTCTTGTTGCCTTCCCACCTCTCACTGGCACCTAATATACGTTATTCGTAAACTCTGATTGAATAGGACAAGTCAGGAATCCTTCTTGGTTACACTGGTTGGTCTCCAAAATTGTCTCTGCTAGTCTCTCATCCTCCACCTTTGTCCCCTCTAGTGCCCTCCTGGGTGACTCCACGATGCCCCAGCTAACTGAGCCACCAGGCATGCTAGAGAGTGAAAGGAAGGCCCAGAGAAGTCGAGGAGACAGAGTTTGCAGCAAGGGAAAAAAAGGAGAAATAGGAGGTAGTGTACTCGACGAATGTCAAGTGAGGAAATGCGGGCAGCGACTGCTCACCTAATTATCAGCTGAGTGACTTAGGGTGGATTCCTGCTCCCTTGCACCCCTCGCTACATATGGCTGCCCTGTGCACAGTAGCAGAGAGTTAAAGTCATAACCGATGTAAGAAGTAGGAAGAAAAACATCCAGTAAACATTGTCACCTCCAGGGCTGACATTGGAGGTCTCCTGAGCCTTGAATCTGGATCTTAGACTTGATCCTCAGAAGGCCAGGCAGGGCACGGTGCAGTGGGAAGGTGAGGGCTTTCTATTTTTACCATCCTTGTTGAGTACCAAGTGGATTCTGGATCCTGGGCAGTTTCAGTAGGTCTTCGGTGACCCAGATGTGATCTCCAGAATGTGGCATGCCACCTAAATTTGAGGTGTCCTCTCAGCAGGGCTGGCTTCACACAGAACCCCGTGCTCAGAAGGGCCCTGCCCTTGGTTAATAGCTCTGCTGCTGCCATATTGAAATTCTTAATTTTTCTTATTTAATAACTTTTCTATTGTGGTAAAAGATATATAACATAGTATTTTACCACAACTAAAAATAGAACACACACACATATCATAAAATTTGCCATTTTAAAGTGTACAGTTCAGTGGCATTAATTATATTCACAATATTGCACAACTATTGCCACTATCTATTTCCAAAACTTTTTCCTCACCCCAAATAGAAACTCTAAACCCATTAAGCAATAACCCTCCATTCCCCTCTCCCCTCAGCCCCAATTAACTTCTAATGCACTTTCAGTCTATGAATTTGCCTATTTGGATATTTCATATAAGTGGAATCATACAATATTTGTCATTTTGTGTTAGGTTTATTTCTCTTAGCATAATGTTTTCAAGGTTCATCCATGTTGTAGCACATGTCAGAACTTCATTCCTTTTTATGCATGAATGATATTCCATTGCATGTCTATACCACATTTTGTTTATCCATTCCTCTGTTGATGGACGCTTGGGTAGTTTCCACTTTTTGGCTATTGTGAATAATGCTGTAATGAGCATGGGTGTGCAAATATCTGTTCAAGTCCCTGTTTTCAAATCTTTCAATTCTTTCAATACTACTACCTAGGAGTAGTATTGCGGGGTCATATGGTGATTCTATGTTTAGCTTTTTGAGGAACAACAAACTCTGAAATTCTTAGTTCTTGAACAAGAGGCCCTGCATTTTCATTTTGCACTGGGCTCTGCAAATTATGTAGCTGGGCCTGTCTCTCAGGGCTGTTGTCAGAGATATCAAAGTCTAAGGTGAATCCAAATTACCTCTCCCTTGGATGGTTCAGCATGTGTCAGCACTATTTAACCAGAAATTAGCCACCACAGCTATCCTAGAGCCCACTTAGGTTTCCTGTCCTCCTGTGGACAAACGTGGTTTACTTGTCTGTATATGTCACACTATGGTAGAAGAATGGTTTATTTAAGGTCATTAGCTTGAGGACTGAAATCATCAATGCCCACATAGCTTACGTCTATGTTAATGTGACTACTGTCATGCAGTCTTCACTTGAGTCCACCGTCTTTACCAACATGATTTTACTATTGCAAAAACACCCAGGAAGATAAAAGTTGCAATAACTTTATTGTTTTACGAACTTCCCCCAAATCCATTTAAAACTGATTAACTTTTCAATAGATAGCATCAAATGACTGTTAACTCATCTTGCTGTGCCCACAATCTTGAACTATTAGATCATGAGCTTTACCCAGTCCTAATCCACCCTGCACTGAAATAGCCACCTCAAACCCGATGAACAACAGCTTGACCTTACATGGCCCACTCAGAGACACCATCAAGACTGCCAAGTCGTCCACCCAGGGCTTTGCCTTATCAACAGGTTGTCTTGGTGATACCTTATGGGAGCCCGTACTCAATAAACTACAACTTTACCTTCCACACTATGCTGTTGCTCCAATCCTATTTCATCCAATATCCATCCATCCATTGATTTGTCAAGAGCCTACTATGTGTTAGGCACTCTTGGATCCTAGTTCCATGATGACTGAGATAAACATGGCCCTCATTTTTTTAGAGCTCACCCTCTCCTTCACGCTTAGGTCACATTCCTGCTGCTAGGGAAAGTGGAGACTAAGAACCACATTCAACTTCAATTTATTTGAAAATGGAGCTTTCCACAGCAAACAAGCTGGATTTCTGCTTTTTCAATCTGGATCTCTGGACATTGTTGGGGAGGAAATACTTATTCTCTACCCTCTTAGGCTCAGTGCCTGGGGGCCTGCAAATTTAACCAACAAAAGATAGATTAACAGGAGGAAAAGAATACAAATTTCATTAATATTTTAAGGCACAGGAGTTCACAGAAAAGAAGGGAAACTCAAAGAGGTGGTTAGACTTGACTCGGGGGCTTATATACCATCTTTAACAAAGGAAAGGAGGTTTGGGCTTCAAGGGATGATAAATTGTGGGGAAGTGACTAGGATATATATGGGGAAAGCTAATGGAAGATAAGGGGTATTTTAGCAAGGTCTGTTTATGCAGACTCATCTCTGTGATGACTCGGTCTTGGTGATAAGAGTTGCTCTCCTCTTCCTAGTACGGGAGAGGCGGACACCTTCACAAAGGGAAATTTATGCCCTGCTTTTAGGCAGAAAAGGGGAGGGAAGAGGATGCTTCCTGCATCTTGTTGATTCTCAATTGCTTTCAGTTTAAAATAATCCTCATGTCAAAGTGGCATATTTTGGGGTGGCATATCCTGATCCCCTTCAACTTAATCTTTAGAAGGCCAGGCAGCCAGATGTCCTTCGAATGAGTTTGTCACTCATAATGATTACTTGACTTGTCAGTGCTGTGCTTCTTTACCTCGAAAGTGCTTCTTGTGTCCTGGTGCCACCCCGTGCAGCCAGCGCAGGGACAGAACCCAGGGCTGGGAAGCTATGAGGTGGCTCGACCCCACCCAGCACAGCCACTTTCAAGCCCAGTGCCCAGTGGGGAAATGACCCACCAGCGCGGCACAGGAAAGCCTCCAAAGGGATATTTCCAGGATGTGTGATCAGTCTGGTAAGTAAGGAGGCTTATTAGAAGCTTTGCCAAGAGACATGACCTGCCAAACCGGTTTGTAAACCAGCTCTAGCTACTTTGGGGTGATGGTTGTGTGTCTGGATGAACACAAATCTGGATGCTCAAATAATTCTCTTAATGTTTGGTTTTCTTTTAACTTACGAAGAGCTTGCACTTTCCTTCCCTTTTTATCTTTTTTGCAGCTTGTTCTTAGATATGCCACAGCCCAGTCTATTTATCTTGTGAGCTTCAGAAGGCGCATACCCACCTCCCCTCGCACAGCTCCTTCCCCAGGAGATTACATCTTGCCTTGGTAATGGAGTTTTGACTCGCCTTTTGTATAAGGCTAAGCCATGATGGGACAAGAATCTTCTCCCCTTATTTTTATCAGGTGCTTTTATTTCCTGAGCTGTTTTTGTAAGTATGCCTGTTTCTGATTTTGCTTCTGGTGGGGGAAGGAGCCCGGGATTTGGGGAGAAGTTTAGATGCCCTGGTGTGTCAATTGGTCTTTAAAAGAAAGAAGCAAAAGTTGATCACATGCTGAAACTCAGGGCCAGTGCAGAGCTGCCTCGCAAGAGGCCAGTCAATTTCAATTAAGGAGATTAAAAGCCCTGAGCACAGAGAGGCCTGGTCACGCATTTCTGAATGCCTTGCTCCTCCAGCAGCCTGGAAGCAGGCAATGGGCCCCTGGACGGTGTCCTCTGGGCCCATGTCAAGATAGCAGTGAAGGAACGAATGCAAAAGGAGAAGCCAGATGAAGGGGCTCAGTGATTTTTTCACTGGCATTTGGGGCAGGACTGACCTGTCAGTGTCCTCAACCCCATTAAGTATCCAGACCCAAGTCACTGGGCCAACCCAACCCAACCTTCCCAGTGGCGGAACCACCCTGGATACCCAGTAGCTGCCTCTGATCTGCTCTTTAGGTGGAGGGCAAGCCTTCAGTGGCTCCTGGGTGGAGAGCTGGTTCTCCTGGTACCTCCTCCTCCGTTGGGCATTGCAGAGGCTCTGCATCTGCCACACTCCTCACTGAATCCCAGGTCCCCACCTTCCCTAACTGCTCGGGCATCCTAGCACCCACACCACCAAGGGGTAAGGGCAGAGGCCAGAGGAGGAGGCTTGGTGGAGAAGAGAGGCTTTGACATCACACAGGACCAGGGCTGAGCCTGCCTCTGCCTCTTATGGGCTCTGCATCGGCTGAGTCAGTATGTGACCAACCTGTACTTGTTTCTTTTTAAGACCCGTTGACGTCCCAGGGCATCCGATCTGCACCCAGGCATCCAAGTGAACCTCACTTGCCATGTTATGGCAAGAGAGCTACCCATACACCACTGGTGGGAGTGCAGACTGGTGCAGCCACTATGGAAAACAGTATGGAGACTTCTCGAAAAAATTAAAAATAGAACTACCATATGATCCAGCTATTCCACTACTGGGTATTTATCCAAAGAACATGAAATAATTCAAAAAGAATTCAATAATTCAAAAAGATAGATGCACCCCTGTGTTCATCACAGCATTATTCACAATAGCCAAGATGTGGAAGCAATCCAAGTGCCCATCAACAGACGAATAGATAAAGAAGATGTGGTGTATATATACAATGGAATACTACTCAGCCATAAAAAAAGACAAAATTGTGCCATTTGCGACAACATGGATGGACTTTGAGGGTATTATGCTAAGCGAAAGAAGTCACAGAGAGAAAGACAAATACCATATGATCTCACTCATATGTGGAAGATAAACACACATATGGATAAAGAGAACAGATTAGTAGTTACCAGAGGGGAAGGGGGTACAGGGAGGGCAAAATGGGAAAAGCGGCACATATGTATGGTGACAGATGAAAACTAGCCTATTGGTGGTAAGCACAATGCAGTCTATACAGAAGCTGAAATATAATGATGTATACCTGAAACTTACACAATATTATAAGCCAATATGACCTCAATAAAATAATTTTTTAAAAAAGGGGAGCTACCACCCACCTCACAGGGGTTGCCAGGCTCCCAGGAGGTACTAAATATATATAAAGCGCCTGATGTCCCCTAGCCACCCTGCTCTGCAGGCGGCCATTCCCTTACAGCGACACTGGGGAGACAAGGGAAGTAGGGGCAAAAATTGCACTCAGCTCCCCAGACCTCTTGATATTTTTTCAGAAGCCAATAAATCAACAATACTATGAGGATTTCATGAACACGCTGTGTCCACTGTAAATGCTGTGTCAATATCGAGGATGTGTCTCGGGACGGGGGCAGGAGATCCGGGCCATAGGAAGAGGAGTGTGCAGGGATGCAGGGGAGGGGACTGAACCAGCTGGACCGCAGGCAGGACAGGATGAAGGAAGGAAGGGCGCTCCAGGAGGTGGGTAGCGTGAGGCTGACGGAAACCACAGGAGCTGGGCAGGAAAGAGAAGTTGGCGGGTGGAAGCCAGACACAGCTTTGTGGACAGAAGCACCTGCAAAGACGAGTGCAGACTTTCCTGGCAAACTCCAGGAAACTGAAGCCACCGTCCCCTCATCCTTGGGGGCAAGGTCCTCTCTAGGGACTGGCTGTTTATCATGGGGTCAGTTCCTTCTCTCTGCAGCTTATCCTCTGGATACTCTCCTATTAACAGGGTGGCCTGGAGAATGAAGGGGTTACCTAAAGGACCGGAGGGGCCTCTGTCAAAAGCGACTGCATCAGGAAGTTTGGGGTCACAGAGCTCCAAACCCTCGTGGGGTGCCAGGTGCAGGGGCGGTTCATGGACTTGCCCCAGGTCCCCTTAGTTCATGGCAGGGCCAGTCTCCTGCTCTCCTCCTCCACCCCCCAGCCTCCCAGGCTTTCACCCCTGACCTACTGCTCCCAAGATATTGAGAAATGAATGACTTAAGCTGCAGGCTTGTTTGTTGTGAAGAGCTGGGATGGCTGATCACAAACTTTTAAAGCACCTGGACTTTTTTCTAAAACCAAAATAAGTCTCATGCAGATTGCATTATATAGAAATGGCATTTTTCTTGATACAAATTGATTTTACAAATGTGGAAAAATGGAACTTACCATTTATATTGAAGAAGAAGAAAGCACTGCTATATGGAGTTTTAAGGTGGCTAAAGAGGGGTACAAGAGTTTCCAAAGGGAATCCTTGCCTCGAGGTGGGACCAGCTTTGTGAGAGGGAAGGGATCACGAGCCCCCAGCCCTGCCTCCCTGAGATAGAACCCTGTGGGGTTGCGGGGCACAAGAAGGCATGAGAGCAGGTGGGCAGAAGGTGGCCTCCACGTCAGGCAGTAGGAAGGGAATGGGGTGTGATGTGTCCTGGGACCTGCCTTCAAACACAGCACCTCGTATGGGCAGGTTTGTGTCCTGGGGCACTGGCTTTCTCACGTTATGCCATGGGAACCCATGCCAATTTTGATAAAGACCCGAGGGAGAAATGCTGCCAGTGGATGTGGCACCAGACAGCAGGAGGGTCTGCCTCAGCCGTGGTTCTTTGGGTTCTCAGTAGCAGAGCCCGGGTCTCAGTCAGCTTGGGCTGCTCTAACAGAATACCACGGCCTAGGGGGCTTAAACAACAGACAGTTACTTCTCACAGTTCTGGGGGCTGGAAGTCCAAGATCAAGATGCCAGCAGATTCAGTTCCTGGTGAGGGCTCACTTCCTGGCTTTAGTCGGCCACGTTCTTGCTGTGTCCTCAGATGGCAGAGAGAGCGAGCTCTGGTGTCTCTTCCTCTTAGAAGGAAACTAATCCCATCCTGAGGGCCCCACCCTCATGACCTCATCTAAAGCTAATTTCCCCCTGAAGGCCCCACCTCCACATACCATCACATTGGAGGTTGGGGCTTCAACATATGCATTTTTGGGGGACACAGACATTCAGTCAGTAACACCTGGCCTCTGTGCCCCTCCACTATCTTCATGTGTCCTTAGTCTGTTATGCTGGCCTCTGGGCAGTGCTTCTCAAACTCTCTGTGATGTAGGACCAGTTTCCTGATTCACAGTAAGGTATGATGTATGATGAGAAAAATGAAATTATGAGATGCAAGCTCATTTCTTTTTTTATTAAAGTTAGGTTCCATGGACAGCGTTGCTGTTAAAGTGGTGTGGACGCTTCCGAATGCTCGCTCTCACCTCTGTATTCATCTCACTGTGCAGCAGCGACCAAGCCTTTGAATGGCACTGTTCTAGAGCCCCATGGAAAGCACTCTGTCAGCCACCCCAGCGATGGGACGCTGAAGCTTCCAGAGACTAACTGTCATTAGCACTAGCTCAGCTAGGTCCTCACTGGCCTTCTCACTGTTGTTATCTTGGGAGGGATGTGGCTAATGCCCAAGACTCCCAGCTTTGAGGAGGATGGCAATCTGGTTATTGAGAGAGATCCTTGTCTCTCGACAGGATAATAGCATTCTCTAATGGCAAAAGCACAGCCTTAGGGTCAGAGACTGGAAGGCAAATCTACTCCCCCACTTGTGAGCTGTGTGAATTTGGGGCAAGCTATTAACCCCTATGTGCCTCAGTTTCTCCATCTAGCAAATGGAGATCATGATACCTTCCCTCAGGAGGCTGTGAAGATTAAATAAGATCATGCCTGTGGCAAGCACTTAGCACGGTGCCCTGTCACTCTGTTTCTCCTTC